TATGCATAGTGTTGGTAAGAAGCATACATGTCCGGTGCTACTAGATGCAGACTGGGGTTCAGAGGCTGTCTTAAAAGATGAAGAGGCACTTTGCTTAGATGCTACAGTTTATGGAAATGTTGCAAGATTTATCAATCACAGGTGTTAATTCCGTACTCTTATACATATGTATCAATCACAGGTGTAGATGCCACAGACACACAAACATATAAAAGTCACCTTTCACCTCTCCCTTCGACCCACATAATTTTTTTTTGGGTAGTAACTATTATAATTTGCAGAAGAGTTATATGTTCTCTTGTATATAAATTTCAAGTAATTGTCTTCTGTGGTGTTGTTTGTGTTGCTGTTCAAAATATCCTCTACAAATGAATCTCAGGGTCTCGTGTCCGTCACAACCAGCCATGACCCTGGGGCTTGTCTTCTGGTCTTTAGTCTCTGAATTTCGAGCACTAGGGAAAGCAGTTATGAAACTATGTTCTTTTTCTGCTACCGTTAAAGATATCTACCTCTTGCAGGATATATATCTACTTACCCTATTATAAGAGTTAACTTTGGCATAATATTGGTGCAGTATTATCATGCCATGGCCGTATATAAGTGTAGTTGGATATAAACTTGCATCTGAATAGATGATAGGAAGAAAATGTGACATATTTTGTTGCTCGAAAAAGAGATGCTAGTTTCATCTTGTATGAGATATCTATATACAATATTAGTGAATACAAATATATCTTATTGTTGATTAGGAAGCTCTATTGCTTGATTAAACCATCTATCTTCTCCTCAGACTAGAAGTTTTAAGATTACATGAATTCTCAGTTTAGAGGTATTGAATTTTATCATGAAGTAACATCTTGTTGATTATCTAATCATTGACTCTACTCCTTTATTTGATTTCCAATTTGTTTGTACTAATCTTAATTCACTATTCTTTTCTACCAAAGTTAATTGATTCGGTTACACGAGTCCAACTTCAAAATGCTTGGGGTGTCAGCATGAACTCATCCCAGCCACTCGGTCTACCCAAACTCTAATTTCTTTGTTTAGTATTTAAGGTTGACCTTAGATTACTTGCAAATTTAGTTATTAAATTTCTGTCCAGTAACTTTACACATCTGCAGTTCATCAACAAATTCAAACTTTCACAAGCAATAATAAATAATTGTACTATTGGGGGAGTCTTTCATGTGCAATGCACTTAGTGACCAGTTGTACATATGTCTTGTTCAATTTCTGTACGTAAAATTCTTCTTTATTAGCACTACTTATTCAAGCTGTGCCAACGTCATATAGGACCTGAATGGTTTGTGTTCTTCAATATTTTGATTCATGAGATAGAGTTAATTTACTCTTCACTCCTTAATTATCGTTCTTGCTAAACTTTTCTCCTCACACATCAATTGTGACTTTTATTGGCTAGATGTTTTGATGCTACCTTGGTTGAGATCCCTGTTGAAGTGGAGACCCCAGATCATCACTATTATCATGTATGATTTCTGAGCATTTAATGGAATCATTTCTTCATACAAGCTGGTAATGGAAGCATTTATTTATATGTTTTTATGTCTTTTATTGTGCAGGTTGCCCTCTTCACAACAAGGAACGTTGCTGCTATGGAGGAGCTCACTTGGGTAAGAAAGATTCACCAAAATCTGATAATTTTGATATTACTATTTACTTGGCATTGTTATCCTACTTTTTAATGTCTGTACTGTTGCAGGACTATGGCATTGACTTTGATGACCATGATCATCCTGTGAAGGCTTTCCAGTGTCTCTGTGGAAGCCCATTCTGTCGTGGCCGCAACCTTTAAAGTACTTCAAGCATAATTTCTTCGTATAGTTCTAGCATGGTTAAAATACTACAATGAAATGGAAATCATGTCATCATATAGTTTTGTAATCTCACTAGATTCCATTCATATCAGTATCAGTTTGATTGTGAAAGGAATCCAGTGAGAATGTTATGCCTTCAAGGAATCTAGTTAGACTCTTGACTTGAGAATGTTAATGCCTTCAAGGCTCCATCTGTTTTTGAGATAATAGAATGTTTTGACATAACATATGCTGGAAAAGCTTTCCTGAAATGTTTATTTTCTTTGCTCTCTCTAGAGAAAAACGTATGTGAAGTCCGGCATATACCTTCCTCTCTATCTCTTTTGAAAAATTTCACATTTACGTTCGTTATGGAATGAAATTTCACATTTAAGTTTATCTATCATAACATACAAAATTATAATGCAAATTCATTGGAGGATGAAAATGTCAAATGTAGTTTCTTTTGATACTCTCATCAACTCAAGCTTTCGGCAAATGCAGTTGATTGCTTTTAGGCTCTGTTTGGTTCATGGGAAAGGAGGCTTGGGGATGGGAAAACAATTACTTTCCCATATTTGGTAAATTCAGGCATGAGAAATGGTTGCATGGCACATGGGAAAGTAGGGGGAAAGTGAAGCCCTTCTCTGCCTTGGGTTTTGTTTTCCTCCTCATGGGAAAGTTTGGAAAAATGAGCTAACATTAAATGCACATTTTTCATGAGCATTTTGTCCTCATTAACAATTTAAAATTACAATATAGCATTAAATGCATTCTTTTTTTATTTGATTTTATATGGGTATAATTGGAAAATTAAACAAACTTTGTTTTACATTCCTACACAAATCAAACATGTGAAGGGAAATAAAGTGGTATTTCCTAATTACTTTCCTAGGATTACCAAACATGGCAAATGAATTTTCCATTTCTTTCTACCAAAAAAAGAATATTTCATTTTCCATCCCTTAAGGAGCCACACTTCGGCTGGAAGTGACCATGGCCCCCCTAACTCCAACATTTCATAAAAAATTAATATTATGCATTTATAATTGTTGGGAAAATATTGAAAAATCTATTTTATTGGCCCTCAAGTAATAAATATGTGTGATGACTGTGTATGTACAGTCAGCAGTTTCACATGGTTGTCACGTGATAGCTGTTAAGCTTGTTAGAAAACTGTTAGGCGATTGTTAGTTTGTTAGATAGCTTACTTAGGGCCTGTTTGGGAGTGCTTTTGAAAGGGTCAAAAGCGCTTTCTAATAACTAAAAGCGCTTCTGACAGCGTTTGGCAGAAAAATTTAGAAGCGCTTCTTGGAGAAGCACCTGCTATGTGCTTCTTCAGGAAGCACCTGCTATGTGCTTCTTCAGGAAGCACTCCCAAGTGCTTTTCCACGAAGCACTTTAATTTTTTATGAAAATTCAAGATTTTTATAATAAAAGCGCTTTTGTTAGAAGCGCTTATGAGCAGAAGTACTTCCTAGAGAAGCATTCCCAAACGAGCCCTTAATCTCTAAGCAAGTATTATATAAATATACTACTGTATGTATGATGTAATTCATTCTTAATATACATAATTAGAAGGGCTAACATCATTTTACCCCCTTAAGATTTGGGGTCATTCTTGAAATGGGCCACGCGGTTTTAATTTTGTCAATTTACGTCCTAACGTTTTAAAATTTGATCAATTTACACGTTCCGTCAATTTGACCGCTTGGTCTTCTGTTAAGTGATGATGTGGCAGATGCGGGGTCCACTTTTTTAGCATATGTGTAATAAAATATGTGACAATTAATATTAAAAAATTCTTTAATTTTAAAGTTAATTAAAATCAAGGGCTTATTTAAAACTAAAAAAAAAAACATAATTAAAAAACCCTTCAAACTCCCCACCCGTCAAACCTAAATCCAAACCCAGATCTCCACTACCCATCCTTCTTCCTCTTCCTTCTTCTCTCCACCCATCAAACCCTAAATCCAAACCCAGCATCTCCACCACCCATTCTTCTTCTTCCTCCTCCTTCTCTTCCAATATCCCCACCTTCGTTCCCAACACCCATTTCTCCTTCAGACACCCACGCTCATCTCCACCCTTCAACTTCACCTCCCTAACTCGCCATAGCTCTTGAAATTGTACCGCCACCGCCACCGCCACCGTCATTTGAGAATCCATCTACCCTAGAAGTATCGCAACCATCATAGCTCTTGAAATTGTTATGTGGGTTGTTTGCAGATTGGTCGTACCCTTTAAACGAATCGTTTTGGTCGGTACCAGACTCTTTGTAACCTGTAAAACCTGACCTGATTATGTTCAAGTCTTCGACGTAGCTGCTGAACTCGGTATGGTTGGCGATGCCGATTTTTCCATAGCTGACAAACTTTTTAGGCATGGCTTCTTCAGCGACGATCTAGGTTTCGAGGGGTTAGGGTTTCAAAGGGAGGAGGCTTGGGATAGGGATGGTTTCAGATCTGGGGTGCGATGGGTTGGAGAACGGGGAAAGTTGGAAGCAGTGGTTGTGAGGTGATCTGGGTTGTTTGCAGGCAGTGGTTGTGAGGTGGTTTGGGTTGTTTGCAGGTGATGATTGTGAGGTGGTCTAGGTTGAATGAGTGGAGAGGGTTTGGTGGTGGAGTTGGTGACGACCTGGGTTTGGTTGGAATGTTGAATTTATTTATTTTTTGGTAAAGAATTGATTTTAATATTCTTAATTAACTTTAAAAATAAAGAATTTTTTAATGGGTCTTAGGAACGAAGGTGGGGATATTGGAAGAGAAGGAGGAGGAAGAAGGAGGAAGAAGAAGGATGGTGGAGATGCTAGGTTTGGCTTTAGGGTTTGATGGGTGGAGAGAAGAAGGAAGAGGAAGAAGGATAGGTGGTGGAGATTTGGGTTTGGATTTAGGTTTGACGGGTGGGGAGTTTGAAGGGTTTTTTAATTATGTTTTATTTTTTTGTTTTAAATAAGCCCTTGATTTTAATTAACTTTAAAATTAAAGAATTTTTTAATATTATTTGTCACATATTTTATTACACATATGCTAAAAAAGTGGACCCCGCATCTGCCACGTCATCACTTAACAAAAGACCAAGCCGTCAAATTGACGGAACGTGTAAATTGATCGAATTTTAAAACATTAGGGCGTAAATTGACAAAATTAAAACAGCGTGGCCCATTTCAAGAATGACTCCAAATCTTGAGGGGGTAAAATGATGTTAGCCCTAATTAGAATATTCATCTTCTTCTTTCTCTCTGTAGTTTTCTTCTATGTCTCTGTGATATCTCTATTCTATTATCATGGTATCAAGAGCCATGGATCGATTCTGCGTCTTTCTTCATTGATTTTGTGCTTCTCTACCTCGCTTTTTCTTCTCCGTGCCTCTGATTTCTGCATCTTCTTCCTCACATCGGTCTTTTCACAAAACCCTAATTTTCTCAATTTCTTGAATTTTTTTGGCCAGTTTTCTACTTTCATGGCTTCCTCTCTCAAAATTGAAAGCCTTCCCGGCATGCTTACTATGGGAGCAAATTCTTCCCACGAATCCCTAATTGTGGTAGGAATCAAATCAATTCCAACCTAATTAGGTAACTCCCAATTTAATTGGGTAACTCCCAATTTAATTGGGTAACTCCCAATTAAATTCAGTAACTCCCAATTAGATTAAATAATCCCCAAATTGAAGGAATTATTTGACCTAGGGTTTTGATTTAATTCAGTTCCCACACTTACCATTCGCCTTACTGATGATAACATCTTGAAGTGGAGTTGTCAGATTGAATCTGTACTTCAAGGTTATTACCTTTTCAGGCATTGATGGCTCTGTCGTTCCTCCTCCCAAATTCGCCATTGTTGATGAAGAAGAGAACACCTCTAAAGCTTACTGCTGCATATAAAGAGGGGATTCGCATGGACAAGGCTCTCTTGAGTTTGCTTATTGCTTCTCTCTCCGATGAAGCCATCGAGTATGTTATTGGAAGCAAGACCGCTCGAGAGGCTTGGCTTAATCTCTGTGATCGCTATGCTTCAGTTTCTCGTGCGCGCATCAATCATCTCAAAACAGAACTGCAAACCGCACAGAAACGTGGTGATTCGATTGAATGCTTCATTCTTCGTCTCAAACATATTCGCGATCAGTTGAATGCCGCTGGTGTGAAGATATCTTATTATGATTTTACCATTGCTGTGTTTAATGGTTTATCGTCGGAAAGATTTTCGCACACATCTTCTTGCTGCTGAAACCACTGCTGAAGCGAGTATGGTTCGTCATACGCTACTTTGTACGGATCTACCTCTGGTTCTTCAATTGTGGCTCCTCATTCTGGTCAAGGTATTTCTGCCTACACCTTATGTATATGCTCCTTGAGCTTTTGATTCGCGTCTTTTTTCTCACGTGGCTTATGGTCATGGCAAGTTCAATGGAGGTCGTAATGGCAATTCTCAGTTTGGTCCATCCTCTAGATTTCGTAGTGGGTCGAATATTTCTTTCAAGTCTAATGTGATGCCGGAATGTCAAATCTGCAGCAAGAGAGGCCACATGACAGCCAATTGCTATTATCGCCACTCCACGCCATGGAGCTTTAAATTGTTTTCAGCGATCGAATTATTCCTATTAGGGTCAAGATCCACCTTCTTCTTTGACCGCCTATAACTGCACAGTTTGGTTTTTCTCCTCAGCAATTTTGGATTGCTGAAAGTGGTGCCACACATCACATGGCAATACTTCTCAATTGCAGAATGTGACTCCCTGTAACACTGAGGAACATGTTACAGTTGGCAATGGGGAAGGTTTGAATATTACAAACCTTGCTACTACTAATCTTTCTTGTGCCAATTCTACATCACTCAATTTACTATCTGTCTTTCATGTTCCACAACTCAAGGCTAATCTCTTGTCTGTCCATCAACTTTGTAAGGATAACAATTGCCTTATGATTTTTTATGCCTCTGGTTTTTGTATTCAGGACAAGAGAATCAAGACAATTCTACTTAGGGCCAGAGTAATCAAGGATTGTATCCAATTCATGTGGCAGCTAATCATTCATCTGTTATTTCTCCATGGAACTCTCCAACTCCAGCATCTACTGCGTATATTGGTAAGCAAATAAAGTATTCTTTGTGGCATCAGAGGTTAGGTCATCCCACCAATGAGGTTGCAAAGATTGTGCTTCATTCTCAGTTGTCCTTTTCTACTGATTCTGTAGCTAGTATATGTTCTGCTTGTTTGCATGGTGAAATGCACAAGCTGGCTTTTTCATCTTCTCATAATAGGTCTAGTATTCCTTTTCAAAGGATACATAGTGATGTGTGGGGACCTTCCTCTGTTAGATCAGTGGATGGCTATAGGTACTATGTGAATTTTGTTGATGAATGTACTGGGTTCTATCCCATGTATAATAAATCAGATGTTTGTTATCTCTTTGTCAAGTTCTTTGTAATGATCACTACTCATTTTCCTGCTCAAGTTCAATACTTTTAAAGTGATGTGGGTGGGGAGTTTACTAGTAGAATATAATGAGACGTGATTTAGTTTCCTGTTTTATTTGTATTTATTTCATAGATTTGCTGTATATATTCCTTGTCTCTCAAGGACTTGATCTTGCCTAGAATAGGAAATCCTTTGTGTAGACACCAAACAAAGCATCGTATATAATTATCACACGATTGGTCAATGAAAATCATCGAGAATATTCAAAACCTTTCATGGTATCAAGAGCTTGAGACTCACAGTCCTCGATCCTCAATTTTCCTGTTCCCTTTTTTTTTTTTCCCTATTTTTGGCACCCATGGCTTCTTCCTCCTCTATTGACTTTCCTAGCATTCATCATGTTATCTCCATTCGTCTCCAGCGTGATAATTATCCGATGTGGCTTGCTCAAATTGTTCTTGTCTATCGCAGCCGCCGCTTGCTCGGCTTTGTTGACGACACTTCTCTGTGTACTTCTTCGACCATCCCCGACCCAAAGGCTAAAGCCAATGAATCTGCTTCTCCGTCTCTCATCTCCAACCGAGAGTATGATGATTGGGTCTAGAAAGATCAGCTTGTTCTCTCTCTCATCAACGGTTCTCTTCACCATAAAGTTCTCACCACCGTAGCTTCCAAGACCACCGCCCGTGACACTTGGATGGCTCTTGAAAATCGTTTTGCTTCTCCGAATCAGAATCGTCTTCTTCAACTTCGCAGTGACTTTCTTTGCCCAACCCATGGTGACTCTTCCATCACTGATTTCCTTGATCGTATTAACTCGATTGCCCATAATTTTGCTTTGGCAGGTGCTTTAGTTGCTGACTCTGATCTCCTTGCTGTGGTTATGAACAACGTTGGTCCTCTTTATGAAAATACCGTTGCTGCTGCTCAAGCTCGTGAGAAACCCATCAGTATGCCTGATCTTGAGGCTCTCCTCTTGTTTGCGGAACGTCACTTGCAATCCTCTTCTTCTCTAGTCATCTTTTCTGGTGCAACGGCTTTGTCTATACAAAAATAGAATTGTGCCAAAAATCCGACAAAGTTTCCTCTGTTTTTAGAGTAATCCCAAATTTATAGCCTGTATAAAAACAGTTCAAAATAAGACATTAGACACTCATTTCTTCAAGATAAGAAAGAGAGAAGAAAGAGTGAAGAAGGAGATGAAGAGAAATAGTGTTGGACCGAAAAGAGGGAGTGAATGAAATATAGACCTTCGAAATCTTATAATTATACAATTGATAAATAAAATTTTAAAAAAATATTATCCTAATGTATAGAGAAAAATACAACAAAATTAAAATTAAAATCACGTACCACCACTATTGCTGTTAAAATTTAATTAAAACCCAAGTAATAACGTTTGTTATTTTGAGTCCTTCATGATCAAACATAGAAATATTTTGATATCCAGATATAAAATAAAATTTTGATCACTTAGGTCCTCTTGAATGCACCAAAATGCAATCATCAAATACATTTCCATCTTCTTCATGTCATCCTTTGCCTCATCAACATTCTCCAATAGCATGTGCAGTTTCTTTTGCTTATAGCAATCATTTGCCCAATCAGCTAGTATCATTTGATATCATCCTCTATCTCTGCCTCATAATTCTTTTGGCAGCAAATAATCTCTAGTGACAAATAATCTCCAAAGAATAGATTGAATTTCGGTTAGCCAGCACAAAATTTCCTGTGTCAAGCATGGCTGCATAGGAAACTCTAGTGCCAGCAGAATCAGCACTCCATATCTGTTTGCCTGGTGCATCATTGAGCAGAAACCGAAAGCAAATACTCCAGATGGTGGGGCCTAGAAAGATGTATCGTCCTGTGCAATGAGGGACGAACCCGGAGATATGCGAGTTGAAGAAGGAAAAGTAGAAAGCATAAGGGATATGCTAGTTTAAATGCCAAGGGAGCAAGGAGCATATGTCTCCAGTGTTTAGAGGAGTACTTCATGGCAAACAGTTTATGAACATGACCATTTGATTACATTTTGCATGGCATCATGGAAAAATCGGCCTAGGCGGCCTGGGCGGGTCGAGTGGCTGCTTCTCTACTCTTCTCGACCCAACCAGTGGCAGCGACGACTTCTTATCCACTCGTCAGAGAAAGAAGAGAGACAATGGAGGTAGAGAAAGATGGGAGGTGATGGAGGCGGAGAGATGAGAGATAAGTGAGGATGGGGCTCGTCCAAAAAACGGTGAAGCTAGTGTTAGTGAAACGCTGTGTTTCACTTATGGGCTAGCATTTTAACAAGGTTCTCATATGGGCTTGGGCCCATATACTAAAACATAACTTAATTGTGTTTTTATTTCAACCCTCTGCTTTATATTAAAGTATATCTCATATGATTCACACACACACACATATATATATAATTACATTTATTTATATTAATTTTGGTATAAATTTATAATTTATAATACAAAATAATTATTATAAATAAATAAAAAAACGCCTAGGCGCCTCCCATACCTACTGCCTAGCGATTTTTCGAACATTGATCACGTATAATTGTGATCACTTAGATAAAACATATAATGAGGATGGATTTGGTGGGACTAAGACTTCAGCAGTTCCTTCAAGCATCTGTGTGACATTCTTCATGGTCGGTCTAAGTGATGGATCTTCTTGAATGCACCAAAACGCGATCATCACAAACTTCTCCATCATTTTGATGTCATTCATTGCCTCATCATTATCATTCTCCAATAACATCTGCAGTTTATTTTGCTTATAGCAACCATATGTTGAGAGTATTTGTCCCACATTGAAATGCTAAGGGACCTAGCCTGGGTTTATAAGGAGTTGGGCTACTCCCCCCATAGCCAATTGGTTTTGGGGTGGAACCTCAACTTCCTTCATGGTATCAGAGCAAGGCTTCACGTGTTGGGCCCAACGGCCACACGTGCTCCCACGTCACCTAATATGTGTTGTCCACGTGTTAGGCTTGAAAGTTCGCCACACGTGCGGGGGCGTGTTGAGAGTATTTGTCCCACATTGAAATGCTAAGGGACCTAGCCTGGGTTTATAAGGAGTTGGGCTACTCCCCCCATTGCCAATTGGTTTTGGGGTGGAACCTCAACTTCCTTCACCATATGCCCAATCAGCTAGTATCATTTGATCTTCATCCTCTATGTTTGCTTCATAATGCTTCCTGCAGCAAATTATCTCTAATAACACAATGCCGAAGCTATAAACATCCGCCTTCACTGTGACAGGAGAGCTTTTGAACCATTCAGGTGCCACATACCCTTTTGTTCCCCTGAATCTTGTAGTTGTTCGAGTTTGATCCATTTTCAAAAGCTTGGCTACTCCAAAGTCAGCAATTCTTGCAGTGAAGGAGTCGTCTAGAAGAATGTTTTGAGGCTTAATGTCACAATGTATGATTTGGCTGCTACACTCTTCATGCAAATACAAGAGCCCTCTTTCAATTCCTAAGGCAATTTCCCTTCTTTGATCCCAGCTTTGCATTGACTCTCCAAAGAGGAAGCTTGCTAGAGAGCCATTGGTCATAAACTCATATACAAGAATTCGGTGCTGCCCTTCGTTGCAGAATCCTAGTAGCTGGACTAAATTCCTGTGATTTGTTCTGCCAATCGCGCTCACTTCAGCTTTGAATTCCAAATCGTTTTCTCTGACCATACTGTCCAATCTTTTAACAGCAACACATCTCCCATTATCAGATGCTAAAACTCCTTTGAAAACAGTTGCAAAAGCACCACGACCTAGTTCTTCCTTGAATCCGTTGGTAGCTTGTTTTAGCTCCATGTAAGTGATGTTAAAATAATCTAGACTTCATTAATAGTCGGCTGGTAACTTTGAAATAGTTGGCAGTCTGTTAGTAGTTGTGGGTTGAATTAATGGTGTGGTAGAAGTTAGTTGAATTAACTATGTTTGGTTTTAGTTGTGTTGTTTTAATGGATTAGGTCGGCAGTGGCTATTATATAAAGCCACCCCTTTCTCTTCATTTTGTATGAAGCAAGGAACATCATCATTCTCTAAAACAGTGTCCCACTACTTTCTGTCTTTTGATTATCACAAGAGAACAAGTTTCTTCTCTTACCTATTATTACTCCCACATAACCGTACCCACCACCAATAATATCATTCCTTTATTCCATCAAAGTGGTATCAGAGCTTGTCTCAGATCCATATGGCTTCAAACAACAACTTATTGCAGCCCCAGCTTCCAAAGTTTACAGGGAAGAATTATAGTCAATGGAGCATCCAAATGAAGGTGCTGTATGCTGCTCAAGATTTGTGGGAGGTGGTTGAAAATGGCTTTGTGGAGCCAAATAATCAAGGAGACCTCACTCAACAACAACTCACAGAGCTGAAGGAGACACGTAAGAGGGACAAGAAGGCTTTATTCTTTATCTTTCAAGCAGTGGATGAAGCTATTTTTGAAAGAATCTCATCATGCACTACATCAAAACAGGCGTGGGACACTCTCTTTGCATCATATAAAGGAGAAGAAAAAGTGAAGATGGCCAGGTTGCAAACTCTAAGAGGTGAGTTTGATATGTTACGCATGAAGGAGTCAGAATCTGTTGAAGACTATTTCAATCGTGTCATTTCTCTAGTCAACCAACTGAGAATTAATGGAGAAAAAATTGAAGATCAGAGAGTTGCTGAAAAAATTCTTCGAAGTATGTCCCGAAAGTTTGAATATATTGTGGTGGCAATTGAAGAATCCAAAGATCTGTCTACTTTGTCTCTTGACAGTTTAATGGGTTCTCTTCAATCGCATGAGTTACGGCTGAAGCAGTTTGACTCTGGCCCTATTGAGCAAGCTTTTCAATCTCAAGTCTCATTCAGAGGAAGTTCTAGAAGAGGAGGAGGCAGCTTTGCTCGTGGACGAGGAAGAAATAATCAAGGACGTGGCTATGCAAATGACCAGAAAGAAACTAATGATGAAGGCTCTGCACGAGATTATGGTTATTCAAGAGGAAGAGGAGATTATGGTTATCCAAGAGGAAGACGAGATTATGGTTTTCCAAGAGGAAGAGGAGATTATGGTGGTTATTCAAGAGGAAGAGGAAGAGAACAAGGTTCCTCTTTTTCTAATATTCAGTGCTACAATTGCAAGCAATATGGGCACATCAAGTCAACATGCAAAAACAAAACAAATGGAGGAGCCGAATCAAGCTTTGTGCATGAAAAAGCTTTTGAAAGGGAAAATGATGCTGTGGTTTTACTTGCATGTGCAGCTGCCAAAGAAGGAAAAGTTTGTGCAGAAAAATGGTATCTTGACAGTGGATGTAGTAATCATATGACAGGCAACAAAAGTGCATTTGTCAATTTCAAGCATACCAACAACTCTGAAGTAAGGATTGGTGATGGTGGAAAGCTAGTGGCCAAAGGATGTGGAGATATTCTTTTTCTGTCCAAGTCTGGAGAACAAAAAAGAATCTCTGATGTGTTATATGTTCCAGATTTAAATTACAATCTCCTTAGTGTGGGGCAACTTCTTCGTAAAGGCCATAATATTCAGTTCAGGGAAGACCAGTGTGTAATTAGAGACAAGTACAACTCTCTAATTACAAAGGTGCAGATGTCAGGAGACAATATGTTTTCTCTAAACATAAAGTATGAATCTTTTGCTTGCTTAAGTGCACTTATCAAGGATTCCTCATGGTTGTGGCATCTACGCTATGGGCATTTGAGTTTCAGCACACTATCATTGATGGGGAAACAACATATGGTACGAGGACTACCAACTATACAGCATCAAACACAAGTTTGTGAAGCATGTGTGCTGGGAAAACATCAGAGAAATTCGTTTCCTACAGGAAATTCTTGGAGAGCATCCCATCCTCTTGAGCTGGTGCACTCAGATGTATGCGGGCCCATGAACACAACATCAACAGGAGGTAACCGCTACTTTCTTACATTCATTGATGATTATAGCAGAAAGACATGGGTCTATTTTCTCAAATATAAATCAGAGGTGTTTGATTACTTTAAAGTTTTCAAAGCTTTGGCTGAGAAGCAAAGTGGATTTGCATTGAAAACCTTGCGGTCTGATCAAGGTGGAGAATTCTCATCCAACGTGTTCGAAAATTTTCTAAAAGAAAATGGGATTAAGCATCAGTTTACAGCTCGGTACACCCCACAGCAAAATGGTGTGGCCGAGAGAAAAAATAGGACCATTATGGAATTGGCAAGAAGCATGTTGAAGGCAAAAGCAATGCCTAATCGTTTTTGGGCAGAAGCAGTGG